GATGTATACTCTTTAATGAGTATGTGGTTTTAAATGTCCATGATCCAGATAAACATATGATTTTTAAAATTTATTGCATTTGTGCAGCAATAAAAGTGTCGATCGTCTTTAAAAATTTTGTAGAAGCATTGTAATTGACAATTCATCAAAATAATTCATCATTAACAGCACAATAACAACATTTATGTCAAACTAAATTAGCCTATATACTTGTAGCAGAGTCAGAAACAGATGTCATTCTGTTTGCATAAATTTCCAGCAGAATGTGTCTGGCAAAGTTAAGAGCGAGTGTTTCTGCTTTACAAAAAATAGTTCCAAGACAGCAGAAATACAGAGGGACAAATGTCTTATCAATAGGACCAATGAAGTGAGTAAGCGTTGTTCAGTCAAACATGGACCAGGCCATCACAGCTGTACTCTATTTGCAATCCTGTGCATAAATTAAAGTTTTTAATATGCTCATGAAAGCAATATTAGAAACAAACAGGAAAATGGCACAATCCAAAAGGCACCTTCTGTCTGCCACCCCCAGTGACACTGTGTGATGTCTTATTCTCAAAGCTGCACTACAGACTATGCCCAGACTGCATACAGAATCGGAAGAAACAACAACATTGAACTTTATAAACACGAAGCACAAAGAACAACATTTTGACATCTATAGTTTGTCTATGAAAGTCATTATGGAAAGCCCCAACTGTGCTAAATGCACAAAGCTGTTAAAATTGCTCTTTAAAGAAACTGATTTTAAATTCAAATGTATCAGGCTTCTTAAAATTTACGCTTTAGTTGAAGTTTATTTAACAGGTTTATTACTAAGCTCAACAGCAAGTGATCTAGGGCAGCATCTTATAAGTGTAAAACAATGTCTAACCACTAACACATTGCTGTTACCTCATGATCGTGTAGCAATCCTCAGTTTCTTTTCTTTTTGTTTTCTAATTTCCCTTTTCTCCTATGTAACTACAACTGGTTTTATTCAACTATTATATTTAGCCCCATTTACCATAAATGCCGTTATAACACCTGTGATTTCCCTCATTACAAGATCAATAGATAGGGTCGAGGGTTGAAAGGGCAGCATATGGACTACGAAAGGGCTTGTTAACATAACCCATTATACTGGTGCACTGGTACAGCTCATTTCTATTCATTTGATGATTAGTTCAATCAATATTTACTCCTGTGCACATCTTTTGTCTTCAGCTACAAAGCATACATTCTTCAATTTCATAGGACAGACCTTGATTTCTGTGAATTCACTGTATTGTTTGAGAGGAAGAAAAATGATTTATGGGGTAGCTTAGGAATCTTTCACTCCTTTTGATTTTGTTTTCCTGTATCAGGTAACCAGTGTCCATACTATGGCAGATTCTAGTTCCTGGAAACGTTAAATAACACACAGTACTGTTGAAGGTATACTTCATCCGTGCATTTCTTAATAAGGACATGTCAATATCATATATAGGTGTACCCATGATAGCACCCTGAAGATTTTTCACTAGTTAACACAAGAACATTTTGAACAGGAATTCTGACTTCTGTTTTACTCAGATTTTTTTTTTTCCTCCTGGTATATCTCCCCCCAATATAGTTTTTAATCACAAAACACAACATATGTGATCTCTACCTGCAGTTATGACCATATTGTCAAACGGGTAAATCATACCAAGTTATTGCTTGTCACTGTATTTGTGAAAGGCCAACAGTAGACATTTTCCATACCACAAAAGAGAAGTTGTTTCCAGCTAATGTATGTGATATTTTTATAGCTTCTCAATTAACCATCATATAATAGGTCACCAGACTTCTATCCGTGAAAAACAATTTTCTTGTTATTACAGTTACAGCCTCCCCCAACCCAGAAACAAAAATATTTTCTGCAGTAAAAATTTAAATGGTATTGAAACAGATAGTTTTCTATCAATCAACTTTCATTATATATTCTCCTCCCACTGCAACATTGTGGCATAATACAACCATTACAGACAAATGCAAGATACTCTTTGGAGCACAAATATGGTGCAATTCAAAGTAAAGTATTGCAGAGGTACACATAGGCTTTCATGGTTCAGGTTTGATTTTTGCTCATTCTAGACAGATGTCACTCTACATTATACACGTTTGCATTTTTAAAATAATGCAACACAGTAATAGTTTATTACTGACTCATGATTTTCTAAATATCTGACCTTTGTTAAAATCTGACCTGCAAAGGCCTAACACTGGAAATTTGTGTTCCATCACATGTCAAGGAGTGTCAATGAAATCAAATAACATTATTCAGGTAATTAGTAGCTTCTGCACCGCACTGTAATGATGAATATGTTTTGCTGTGGTGGGATAGGGTCCTAAGTCTGTCAAAATTGCTTCTCTCTTACCACCTTTGTTTTAAATAGTCAATGTGTTCATTGACATATTTTAGGATATTAATGTTACATATTTCAAATTTAGTTGTATTTATTTTTCCTGGACTAACTTATGAAGTAAGTTTCCTTTGCTTTAATAAGCTTATAAAGATTCCCCGCACTTATCTATCAAATTAAGGAGAACTTTCTGTTATCTAGACTAATTGTATGTTACTTAAATAGCTCTCAGCAAGATAGGATCTGTTTGACTCACGCTTTCCTAATTGCTTACAAATAGCTTACAAATATTTCAGTGACGCTAAGAAAACAGTGTAACTATGTAACATATATCATTGCTCAGTCCTGACACCAATAACAGAAAACTATACAGAAAAACTTGCTCATATACCTTGGCTTCAGGGTTCTGTAGAGCTTTTCTTTAAAACGTAAAAGATAAAACTTTTTAATGATTCCCAATTGAAAGGTTAAATATTACTTTTCCAGTAAAAGAGGTACTCTATATGACTGCATAAATGTCACTTTCACAGCTCAAATAATTGTGGTCACAAACTTGGGTTCTCTACGTAGCACATGCCCAAAAATTAAATTACAAGAAGAAACAACATTAAATTTTATAATTTGAGTGCATGTTCAGTCCTCTTTTTTCTGAAAAAAAACCCCAACAACTTAAGAACACCTTCTGTGTTCTTAACCCCCTCACAGGATGTTGGCAGGAGTGGGACAGGTGGAAGGAAGGGTGTGATGAATGCTCATTGTAAATGTCATTCTTTTATACTTCTATTTGCATCTATAAAATATAGTATGAGAGTCATCAACTTCCAAAACCTCCATTTCCAGTTCAGAGGGAAATATCTAGACCTACCATGACAATGAGAGCACCAAAAGCACAAGTGTGCAGCCTCCTGTACCAGAATATTGTGCTGTTATAGTAAGTCAGCATGTCTACATATCCTGAAATAGATTTAAAACAAGATTTGAAGTACAGGGAATTACTATTTTGTATAGGACACGACCAATGACTGAAGTGTGCCCCAGAGCTAGCTGTGCTTCCATGAGATGGGATGACTGACAGACCCTGTGACTGCCCAGTGCTTTGGGATGCAGCAAGCAGCAACACAGGCTGGATATTTTCAGCAGCTCTTTGGCCTCCATCTCCAGTGGAGCAAGTAAGCAACCACACCAACCCCTGCACATCCCAGGTATGCTGGGCTGAGTGCATTAACTGCAGCCTGGAAGGATCACAGTTCAGCTAAGAAAGTTTGGGGGAAGAGCTCACATGTACAAGAGCAAGCTTCTTCCTTCAAACCCAACAATGAATATAACATAGTTGAAAACAATTGTACCTTCACAAGAAGGCTTAGAGCTGTCCAAAATCATTAACTTATGGAAGCTCACAATCTGTTAATTGTAATATACATTTATTTCCTTTATTATGAAAGCCACAAATGCAATGGGCAGATGCTCTATTAACATACAAATCTTGCTGGGCTGTCAAGTGCTGCTCTTGTGTTGATGTACACCTGATGTAAAACACCAGTTCGGTAACCTGAGTTCGGCATATGAGTTTTGCAGAAGAATGAAAGTTGACTGTTGTTTTTTTCCTCCTCCCTCCATCCAAGACCTCCCCCCCCCCCCCC